ATACACTCCTAGAGTGTCGTGGTGGGCCGGAGGCTAAGGCGCCCACTTCTCATGCATGAGGATGTGGGTTCGAAACCTGGCAAGTACCAATGTGTATTTATCTTAGTTATACATACATATGTACTTTCTATGATTATACATATAGACACCACTGTCACACGGTGAAGGAAAACATCGTGAGGAAACCTGGACTAATTATATGTTTCTGGACTAATTATAAGTATATCGTCACTCCACCTTGAGCAAGGTTTGATCAATGCTCAAGCCTTCTCCATGTAAGAAGGGGCCTTTGTCCGCAGTGGGCACCTAAAAGCTGATCATGTAATGATTATACACTCCTAGAATATGATGTTCTACCTACTAACTCAATTAAAACCAGCTTATTTCTTTTTTTTGGGAACTTAAAAAAAAAGTATATTTACACATGCAAAGTCTAGAAGCTAGTTTCACAATAAATAAAATCATAGAGTATAGAGTTGGTATAGAGTAATTCACTACAACCGAACACGAATTCGCAATAAAGGCAATGTCGGCCATTTTTAAAAATGATTTAAAATAAGAACAGTTCGTGCTGTGCTTCATTTAATCAAAAGATTTGTGTGTACAATGCGAAGAAAATTTGTTTAATAGAGTATTGTTTTGTTTTGCCTGGATACCTATCTACACTAATATTATAAAGTTGTAAGTTTGTATGTAGGCGGCAATCTTTGGAACCGCTGGTCAGATTTCCAAAATTATATCACTGGTAGATAGATGGCTACGATGTTTCTGAGTGCTACAGACTATAAAATTATACCTAATTTGCGCATTTTAATCGAGCTATGGCTTTAACGCTTCTGTTTTTAAAATCCCGGGATACATTACATTTATACACAGGTATCCTAGGCAGAATCAGTAAAAGTTTTATGACTAAAAAACACCCCGTTCCTTCTCCCTCTAGCCCACTTACGGCGGGAAAAGTCAGTTGATGATTTCCACCACTGAAAAGAAAAAATCTTAGCACCATTTTATTCTACAAATAACTGGCAAGGTTTAATAATTATCTACTCTGAGTATCCCAGTCACCAAAACTGAAAAAACTGAACCTAAGTCCTCTTGTACAACAGTTTAACTTGTAACCACTTAACCAAGGGGGTAATGACTATGATATTTATCAATGTAATTTGGCTCACGACCTTGTTCCAAATATCGGGCGGCGAAATGCCAGCCATAGTTACAATCTCACCCTTAAATGGTGAACGGGGCTTACAACATTGATTTTTATTGGCATTTACCATGTTGTAGTTAAGCTAACCTGTGATTTACTGAGAAATTCGTTAACCTACTTAATAGAACTACCGTGGCTTAATATATTTCTTAAACTCACTCATACCTCACGAAAGGGTCTTGCCTTGTATTTTGTAGGCAGTTTCTCGCCAATCATCAAAGCGCATATGTATCTCTCCAGCGGGACCATGGTCGAGCTATTAGTCTTTCTTGACCATCTCCAGTATTTTATAGATGTATGCTTCAATTTGCTATGGTTTAGATACCATACGCGTAGTATAGACAGTTTAATTGGGTAGTCTCCTAGGTCAAAAATAAATTAATTCGACGTCTCAATACAACATATTGAAAAATAACCATACTTTTATTCATCGATCGATCGATACACTGAATTTTAGATAATTTTTAGCAATTTTTTAAGAAATAAGTAAACTATTTGAGACCTAAAAAATATGACGTCATAACTCAGTTTTTCATACAAATGTCATAGAAAAGTATCGTTTTTGTCATTTGCATAAAAGTATTGAATTTGACTAGTTGGAAACTACCGTATTGTGACAAAGTTTAAGCTGATTTTTTATTTCTGATGGGAGAACATCATCCAATTACTTCTCCCGCCCTGAGTGGAGCGAGACGGTGTTTCTGACTGTTACTGACTAAAAACTACCTCGTTCCTTCTCCTGCTTAGCCGCGTCGCAGTGCATTGAGCTTGATCTCGCAACACTGGCCTATACAACATTGAGATATACAAAAATGCCAATAAAGTTTTGCCCAAATTCTTCTTCGGATTATCTTTGTCAAATGCATTGTTTTTATTAACCTTAAGAGAAATAAGTGTAATGCTAAAATATTTTTATCTCCCAATTGTTGACAACGAATCAAACACTACCATAATCATTAACAAACTCTTTAGCTTTTTTAACATTAACTATAACAATGATATTAACGCTCTGATTCCCATTTTAATTGATTGTCGCGATAATAATGTAAAATTATTTAACCTACATCTATTAATAATTTGGTGTAATTAAATATCTGACCTCATAAAATAATGAATGACTCTGCACGATTTCGGTGATAAAATCACCTTTTGGTGGCATATTGCTACCGATAAAAAAATCTTAATCATTATAAATAAATTAAGGCACTTAATGTAGTTAAGCTTATGATATTTTCTGTGCCCTCAACCTTTGCTTACACTGCCTAATATACATTATTTGAAAGACTCTGATGCCTGAGATATGGGAGGCTTTATCACCAGGCTTAACTTAACTTCATATTACAAAACTGGAGAGTTTGTTTGAACACGCTAATCTAAGGAACTGCTAGTTCGAATTGGAAATAAATTTTTGTGTTGAACAGACCATTTATCACGGAAGGCTTGTTAAAACATCACGTTACGATCTGAAGGAGCCGAGCAGAAGTTGAAATAGCGCAAGAATAGTTAGTACTTATAGAAAGCTAAAAGTCTCCTAAACATTTCAAACTCAAGTTGCCCTTGTATGAAAAAATCGAAACTGTACAATTACAGTTAGGTACATAAAAATTCTAAATTATTACCAATTTAGTTTTATGCTCTTTCCACTCTAGCCTCCCATAACAATAAGTAAGCGCCAATAAAAGTTTCAACTAATATTTTCTTGTAGGTATACTACGGTGACCTAGTTCTTAGTGATACGTCATTTTCGAATTACAAAAGCTACATCGAACTGCCTTAGTGGTCGAGAGGTCGCAGACTTTTCGTTTGATTTTTTTCCCGCAAATCCGTTCGCGTGGAATAGTGACTTCCTGCATATTTTTGGTATAAAAACTATCCTATGTCCTTTCTCGAGTTCCAAACTATGTCTGGAGTAATTTTCACAGAAATCGCCTTTTGTAGTTTAGGCGTGAAGAAAAGACAGACAGATAGACAGACAGACAGACATACAGACAGACAGACATACAGACAGAGTTACTTTCATTTATAATATTAGTTTGGAAGTTTGGATTCTGCAAGTTGTTTGTACCTATTACAGGATGACAGCAAACGGATAACTTGATAGTACGAAATCGACGGCCCCCATAAACATTCAGAACACTGAATTGTTGCAAGTGGGTAGCCGGCTTTAGGCTGTAAATTAGGTTTCCGGAAACCTCACTCGAATGGCAAAATACCACGCAATCGTTATTTCTTACTAGTATTCTGAGAGGTCGTGGTCACTCCGGTGGAGCCGGCCTATTCGTGCAGAAGCATGGCTCTTTCATACTTAAAATAAATGTACTTACTAGTTAACTGAGAGGAAATGAGTCTTTAGTTTTTAAATGGCATATTTCGGCAAACGAACGGACGGATTATGATGATATTACAAAATCACAAGTCATAGAAAACTATATTTTTTGACATTACTATAAAAGTATTAAATCGCTAGTTGTCTAATTCTAATAAATATAGTAATAAATACTTTATATCTATACTAATATTATAAAGAGGTAAAATTTGTAAGTTTGTATGTTTGTAAGTTTGTATGTAGGGGGTAATCTTTGGAACCGCTGGTCGGATTTCCAAAATTCTTTCACTGCTTGAGAGCTACAATGCTCCCGAGTGCTATAGGCTATAAAACATCACGCTACGATGAAATAGCGCTGAGCAGCGAGTGAAGCCGCGCGAGAGTAGCTAGCCGTTTATAATTCTGCTGTACGTGTGTGTCATTGAACTCCTCCTAAACGGCTTGACCGATTTAAATGTATTTTTCTGTAAGCGTTTGAGAGGCACCCTGAATGGTTTAGATTCACAAATCAGCCCGGCAGATGGCACTGATTGATTGAAAAAGCATGTGATCTTGGAAACGGCCTTAATGATTTCGCTGAGATGTTGGGGTATTCGGGGAGGATCCGTTAATAATGTTAAAAATGTGAAAGTTTTAAAAAATGTATGTTTGTTAACCTTTCAAGCAAAAACGGCTGGACCGATTTAGTAGAAATTTGGTATGTAGATTAGTGATACCCTGGATAAATACATGGGTTGCTTTTATCAACAAACCACGCGGACGAAGCCGCGGGCGATAGCTATTTAAGGGATGAAGAAAGAAACACGTATAACTGTAGAAGCATCTGTCTTAAATTTAATATCTACATTAAGACGTCGCCATTTTATTTCGCTATCATTTCGAATCGACACTTTTAATAATCTCTATAAGTTTTATCTCAAAGTCTTTAAAACTTCGTCCATTATTTTAAATTTTATGAAATTGTTTTTTAAAGATTACTTAATAAAATTATCTTTTAGTTTATTGCCTAAGATTATACCATTTTTCTATAAGCCACGGGCAGATTTATAAATTCTGCACATTTATTTTGGTATGCAGATCGACTCAAGTACAGTGATAGTACTATCTAGTACTATCTTTTGCAACCATTACTCCACTAGTCAGCTGAATAGCCAAAAAAACTATGCTGTAACCATTTTCAGACACGGAAATCGATTTTCTCATCTTTTTTTTTCCGATTTTCCTAACCAAAGTAAAAAGAAGTTGGAATTGCGGACGCAAGCGGTATTTAGTCAGAAAGAGTAACACTATCTCTCGCCCCACCCAGGGTGGAAGAATTAGTATAATGATATTTTCCGTCAAAAAAAAACAAAATAATGAAAGCAACTGAATTACTCAATGTATCTTTTCAAGTTTTAGTTTCACCTACGAGTTTGCGGATTTACCATATTTATTATATATATTTAATTAAATTTTTAACTGTTCCAGATTACCTCTTCCATGGCTCCTGTACGGGTTGATCAACGGCGAGCCAGTCCAGGTCAACTCCAAGGGCATGGTCTGCAGCATAGTGCTGCTCTTTGCCATGCTCCTGTTCGTCATCCTCAGCATCGCCTGCTTCAGGTGGAAAATGAACAAGGGTCTAGGGTTCACCATGTTCCTCCTCTATTTCGTCTTCGTGGGAGTCAGTCTCGGTCTCGAATACGGCTACCTCCATTGTCCGAGCGAATAGACTGGTCTTTTCGCCTTTTGGTCTTCTCTATTAAATAAGGAATGGATTATCTGCAGCCTTTGATGGTGACTATTCGTTTTGGTAAACACGAACGAGTTTTAATTCGATATTGAAAAGCTGATGGAACGTTTTTATTGTAGTCTTGTAGAGATGGGGAGGCAGAATTTTAAATAGTTTATGGTAAATAGTCGAGAACGCTAGAACTGTTTACCTAAAACAAATAGTCGACAGTCAAATCGTAGCGAGTTGGTACTTCCAGCAATATTGCACCTCGATTGCAGCAAACTATGCGACGTCAAAGTTTAAACGTAAACTCGACGTCACACTGTGACATGACTTTGACATTTGACATTCTGACGTTGACGTAATAATGCAATGTGCAGACGTCAAAATGTATAAATAATTTTATACAACTTTAAAACGTTGTTGTGTTCTACAATGTGACGTGAGTGAAATACAGATTATTAATTTAATTATTTCATATGAATAATTAAATTTAATGTTCTAAAATGAAATGAAGATATTGTCATAGTTGGCTTCAACGAGAAAAAACATTTATAAAAACGTAAGTATTATAAGAAAATTACTTTAGCGTTGTGAATTATTTAGTTTTATATTTTAGTTGTCTAGTTGCGCCATAGCACAAGCAGTAAATTATTGCTCAAAATATTAATTTACTTTGTCGTTGCTTTGCTATGTAGTTTCGTTCAGATGTTTTAAATGAGGGCTTGTAATAGATGTATTAAACGAAATGACGAGAGATTTACGTGCACCAAATATACATAAGGGAAGCGATAAACGAAGAATACGATTCCTATAAATATTCATGCTTCAGTTATTGTTCTGGTCATAAGAATAAGAATGATTGCATTGTAAATTATTGAGGTACAACATTTTTGTATCGAAAGTAAATATTTAGCCATTATAGAGACTGTAGTTATTTATATGAATGTTAGTTGTTTAACTCGATGGCGCTTTTACGAAGTTTTAAGGCTAAGTTCTTGATCTATCGATAAATGTATCGTGTGAGTTGTGTTTGTAAATATTCAACGCGTTGTGTTCTACTTCTGTCCTCTCGTTCAGTTCATCTGTTCGGTCGCAGACCGTCGGTCCATGTCGATGATTTGTATTTAAATGTATCGTTGTAATGAAAGCGATTCGATGTAAGTGTGTGTGGCCCGCACAAACAGCTAGATTGTACATACACAGATAGAGGGTGCAAGAGCGGGGCAAATGTAAAAGTTTTAATAAAAATCTCATTCCATAAAATGTGCCTAAGAGTTTTACAAACTCAGTAACATTTAGCTTCGATTTTTATAAATTAACAGAAAAAATAAGAAAATGTTAAAAAAGTCATTTTATCATCCCGTTAGCGGACTATGCTTACATATAGTGTTATAGACTATCCGAGGACGCATCTGTCCCGCTCTACGATATGATACGGTAGTTAGAGTTTACACTATCTCTATAAATTCTATCTTTAATTATAATGATCCTCCATACTCTTCGTTTCATCTATTGACTTTCGGCAGAAATGATTGGGGTTGCATCTGGCAAGTCAATTCTTAATATTAAAACTATTTCTTCAGAAATCTCTTCTTCCTTAATATTTAAAGGGCACGGTTCAGTAAATTTTATAAAATTAAAAACATCTTGTCAACCGTCCATAGTTTCTGTTTCATATTTACTTTCCGCTTCTGCACACCACTCTGTTATCTATGACTCATGAGAATCTTTAAAAAAAAAATGATGGTAAGTTCAATTGTTGAAATCCAAAAAGTTTTATATTAATAACCCGCCTATTTGACATAGCAATAAATAGACTAGAATAGATAGTTAAATATTTATATTGTTAAGCTTTAACACTTCAGACCATAGTGTCGCTCAAATGATAAAGAAAGCATTATTGGACTTCGAAATGGTTTAGAGAAGTGACATCTAAGGGCTACATACTCTTCCTGATAGTACAACAAGTCCATTGGCACTTCTCTAGCCAGAAACTCTTCTAATATACGCACAAGTAAACCATGAAATACTTAAAAGTTCGCTTCATACATCAACAAGGGAAGTTTTAGTTGAACTAGAGGTCTATGTATAATCAAATTTATACAAAAAATATAACACGCTGAAGTGAAACTGTTTGGAACATTTGTTTACAAGTCGACGTTGTGATAATGTCATATTGTAGAATGTCTTAGAGATGTTAAGTCAATTATTTTCTACAATATGACGTTGACGTCTAGTTCGTGAACGATTGAAGATGAAAAGTTGGAACTTTTTGATTGGCGGCTAACATTAACCAATCACAATTTAATAAGAATAGATTTGTATAAAATAATTTTCTAATCATGAGATGTAGATTTTCGGTATGTTGTGCGTAGGCATGAGTTTTATCTTTGTGCAAATGTTCCATAACATTTATTGCCATTACAAAAAAATATTTAAATGACATAACAAAGTATGTTTTAGTAGCAGTGTTCAAAATAAAAAATATATATAAATATGTATGTTTTTCGTAAGGTAATGGTAGTGTATTGCATGTCTCGATAAGTATGCATTACACAAAATAGCTCGGATATATTTAATTTTATGTCAAAAAAGATTCGCTTAGCCATAGCTGTTCCTCGAATCAAATGAATTCAAGTAACATTTTTATATATATATAAACATAACTACGACAAAAATAGTGCCTCGTACTAGGATCTAGATAAAGATATTAATACAATGAAACCTATTTTTATTTTGAACATTGCCTCTAAAAAGTTTGTAATAAACATCGTCAATATTATTCCAATATAAAAAAAAAACAAATGATATCGCTAAATATATAACGACATATCGGTACCCACCGGACATCGTTTAGGTCATAATCTGTGATAAGGGCATGCTTATGACGTATATAATATATAAAATATTTGTATAAACATCTGTCTTCAAATTCTCACATAGTACTATTTATATATAAGCTTGAATTTACTAGCCTTCTGTAGTTCGCTTAGTGATGCCACTACTAGGCAGTTACATTGTCATCCTTAATGGTCGTGGAAAAAGTATAAAATTGATCGTCAACTTCATACACAGGCAATTATGAGCGTTATTATTGAAAAGTAAAGCTTTCATTTTGATTGTATTTCTTAATGTTATTTTCGAACATCAAAATGGAACAGATTCTGCCTATATTAAAATGATACCATAACACTTATACAGCTGCTATATATGACCTCATTTCGCAAGTGGTCTTCCTTTGTGTAAGTATTATTTATTTGATTTTCTCAAAAATACAATGACTGTACGACGTAGTGGCCACTCTATAAAAATTTAAGATTTGACTCTGTAAAGTAAAATTAATTCGATTTGAATTTTTCCTTTACAATGATACAAGCTAGTGTGTAGTATTCTAAAAATATCCTTAAAATTATTATCTGACGCACCAAGTACCAAATGTACGTTATGCCTATAATGAGGTGTCCCAAATATAAACTCAATTAAGTACAAAATAACAACTCATTATTATAATACAATAAACAACATTTTATTGAACTAAATTATTCAAAACTTAGAATTTAGTATTCTACAGCTGCTGTTTTTCGAAAAAAGAAACGGCAATTAATTTCAAATGAACAATAATACAATTCCATAGCACATTATTGGGACCCTCAAAATAATATAATGCTATTAAATTATATAACTATATACACTAGATTTCTATCTATCAATCTCTTATATGATGTACTTAATTAGGCTTTGTAAATTAACCATCCTTCCATTTGTTTAATGCGATTAATTATCGAACTGATAAAGAATATTTATGATCATATCACGAGGTTCTTTTCTTTGACGTCAGAATGTAGAAAATAATTTCTCTGTTCCACGGCGTCGGAGCGAACATGACGTTGCATTTTCATTGATGTTGTAACGTCAGAATGTAACATTGAAATGATTTCTACATTTTGACGTGAAATGTTTCTACTTGAAACTCGCCTTTACGCATGTCAGACCACGTAGTTACATTAAAATTGCATTTGTTCAGTACCAAATAGCACGAGCCGTATTAGATTCTCATTAAATTTCAAACTTCATTATTATACCTACTACCTAGTATCTATAAGAGATACAATTTATCAATATAAATCGGCGTTGATAGACGTCGATTGAACACATAAAAATATCCTTTATAACTTCTTCGTAGTCTAAGATCTAGGCTTAAACGCTTTAATGAATATAAAAAAAATGTTTATTAATAAAAAAAAATTGAATATGATATCCAGGTAGAGATTGTTACTAGAAATGATGGTTTTTATATAAAATTATAAAGTAAATTATTGCAGATAATAAAAAAATGTTTTTCATTCCACTTTTTTGTTACGGCAATATTATTATTGTTATTATTGAATACAAAAACAAGAACACCATAGTTATTATTTAGTGAAATTAATAGAATTATTATTTACCTTACTGTGTCAGCTTTAAAAATTGATCGTTAATAAAAAAGTGGAGTGATTTAAAATTTGTCATTGATTTTGTTTATAGCTGACTAGTCTCGATTTCGAATGACAGAGAGAATAGAATAATTAAAGATTTTATTTATTATTAATAATTGGCGCCATTTTTTATTTCAAAACATTTTTTGACGTTTCTGTAGTCTAGATTGATGGTTGACACACGTCAGATGTTGACGTCTCTATTATTTTTGACAACATTTTTTTATGATTTATGCATTGGAAGTCGTCGGAATCGAGATAACAGCGTAGGTTGTTAATAGTGATATTACAAATTAGGTACTTAAAAGTAAAAAAGTGTTATTAATTTTAAAAAACTGTAGATAAGTTTTAGGAATTTTCATCATGTTGTAACAAGTAAAAATGGGAGGAGATGAGCTCTTGTTGGTTATGGTTTCCATTCAAAATCTATTTAATTGTTGTTCTTTTTTATTATAAATTACCCTTTTAAATCAAAATTACGACTTCCGTAGTTGATTTTAAAGTTAATTTTTCAACTTTTGTGAAATATCACTGTGAATCTCGATCGGAACGTTGACAAAGAAATAATAATATAATAGATTTATATAATAATAGAATGTTTTCATATATTATTATACCATAGAGCACGTATTTACATATATTTTTCGATAGATCTGATTATTGTAAACTGCGTTCAAAAATGGTGATTTTAAATAATATTCATTGAACGTAGGAATCCTCATTTTGAACTAAAAGTTAATTATAAGTGAAGCACAGTGTTGTTTGTTGATATATTTAGTAATTATTAAGTGATATACATATATACAATTCCGATCGAGCGGTTGTTGTTCTATTAAAGCTTTTAATAATTGTTGACAATTAAATATATTGTGATAGTTTTAATAAATTCACTAGTTTATTGCATATATTGTAATAATTTCGTATGGTATCAGTGTTTATATGATTTTGACGTACAAAAGAGCATGCCGTACCCAAACGTCGGCAGTCGACGGTATTATGAAAAATTACAATAAAAATTATAAAATAGTGAGTGAAAATAATGTGTGTTTTAATTCTATTACACCCGTTGTTCCCTTCTGTGTCCTAGGTCTATTGTAACTGCTTGCTAAAGCGTTCTGGGGGCGATGGGTTGGTGTGGGTCAAGCCAAATATTTTCGCCCTCGGGTCGACAGTCAAGGCCATACACATATCGAATCATGGCGCATCGAAGCGATTGCGAATGTAAACTATTATGCCTGTATATGTCAAAGTCAACTACTTTAGGTAAAGGTAAGGGCCTAGTTCAATTAATAAAAATAACCAGCCACTCTGATAGCAACTTTTAGTTGGTTTTGAAAATCTCATCGCCTAACCGCCTGACCGAGTAGCGCCATTAAATCAAGTGGTTAAACAATCAAAATATAAATTTTAGAGATTAAATAGATAAATAAAACACTGGATTGTCGCATCATAATGTTTTATTATTTAAATTTATAAATAAATTGGTGATATAAAATTATATAATTAGAAAATAAAAAGTCGCATTTAATTTAGCTTTAGGGTAATTTGTGGCACACATATTTTCTGACCCTATTTAGGGAAATGAGCTGAAGCTTAAAATAATGGATTCTTAAAATAAATCAAAATGCAACAATAGCTTGGTATAAGTATTCCAGAGTACAATCATACTCTGCCAAATTTCTTTCAGATCCGTTCAGTTGTTTAGACGAGAACAACAACAACGACGACGTTAAATAATAAACACAACTTACCTTATACTTTAAATTTCTTTCTTTCATATTCATCAGGCACTCTTCCAAGAACAACATTGCAACCTAACACTAAACTTAATGTACCTATATAAACACATTCACAAAATATAGACATCGATAGACACAAACTGACGTCAACTAACATTAATAAAGATTCATATTGAAAATAATTATTCAACAAAAATGACATAACATCACTTTTTTTATGTGATAGGACGACAAACTAGCATACGGATTACCTGATGGTAAACAATCGGCGTCACCCATGGACACCCGCAACAAAGAAGGAGTTACGAGTGCGTTGCCGACCTTTTAAGGATTGGGATTTTGGGGATTTAGGGATTGGGAAGGGATTGGGGTAGGGGAAGGATTGGGCCTCCCTTAACCTCACTCACACGGCGAAACACAACTTGTGTTTGTTTCACGCCGGTTTTCTGTGAGGCCGTGGTATCACTCCGGTCGAGCCGACCCATTCGTGCCAAAGCATGGCTCTGCCACACTTAAATATATAATATACTTACTTTTGATATAATTAAATAATTTATTGCCATAAACACTGAGTATTTCAAGACAGCTTCTTTTGCTATAGGGGAAAATTATCCTAGGATTACTCTCGCCATGGCCTCGGGTAAGGCGAAAAGGAATTTCACTCTTACTGACTAGAACACCTCGTTCCTTATCCTGCCCCGAGCCAAACTGTGGTGCATTATGCGCTTGCGTCCGCAACCAAAGAATTTCAAGATATCAAAATCGAGATTAACTATAGTAGACAGCGGTTCTTTTCTTTAGCTCATAACCTTTTATCGGACTAAACTATTAAAAAATAACAATGAGACAATCTTTCCTAATATACAAATTCTTATAATTTCTGACATAGCCAAAACAAAACTTATTGCTTTTTTCTGCTTTCGGACACGCCCAAAGAGTACAAAAAAATATTTACAGATTCTTAAATTGTACCAAAAATACTTTTTTTTTCAAGGATCACTCAAATATATGCTGCTCCTGCTAGGTGCATTTGAGTCTTTAAACTCTTGAAAATCGTATGAGATATTAAATTTATTTCCAATCATTTAAAGGACAGACTTGTAATAATCGCACATTTAGGTACCACAAAATTACATTAGATAGGTATGTACACATGGACATATAATTATGGACCAGCAAAATATTAAAAGCAAAACTATAAAACTCTTAAAAAATCTAAACATTCGTGTATTACAAAATTAAAAGAAAACTTGTGCCAAAAATCTCTTAGACACTATTCTTAGACGTAACATTTCTTAATTCTTAAACGTAAGTACCAAGTACTTTACATACATATCAAATACAAACATTCTGAGATTAAGTTCTTGCTGAAGACACCTTCTCCATACCCTGGCATCGAGGAGTTTAAACCACGAAGAACTGCACCAATCTGAACCAAAAACATTGGGTAGGATCCCAGTTCAATCAGATTGGCAGAATTTTTGGGATTCCAGCCTAATAAAGACCCAGCCGCTTTAAGCGTGTGACATCTGATCCTGTTTTATGTGAGGGTAGTTTTAATAAAGCGCAGTGCGCAGGCGCGCTCGACAAAATAGCAGAAACGCCAGTAAAGCCGCGAGCGCCGCCCCGGCTAGCAGCGTTGTCTCGTCGCGTCGTGAACCACCTGCGCGTTCTACTACTGTGCTCTGAAAAAAATAAAAGAAATATTTATGCTCAAAATTTAATTCTCGTAGCTACTCCTCCGACGTTTTAGCAGATGAGAGAGCTATGCTTTGGCACGAATGAGTCAGTTCGATAGGAGTATCACGGCCTCACAGAAAACCGGCGTGAAACAACCACAGCGTTGTGTTTCGCCGTGTGAGTGAGGTTACCAAAAGAACAATTCTTTCCCCCTCCCCCCTATCCCTAAAAGCAATCCAAATCCTTAATCGCAAAAAGGTCGGCAACGCACTCGTAGCTCCTCGTTCGTTTTCGGGTATCCATGGGCAGCGCTAATTGCTTACCACCAGGTTACCGGTCTACTCGTTTGCCGTCCTATCACAAAAGAAATATTATCATCATCATTCTCTTTTCCAACTTCCATCTATCTTCTAGAAGGCTACAAAGTACATCATCTATAATCATTTTAATAATTATTTACATTAATAATTATTAACAGTCCAAAAAAGACCTTGTAGAATAAAAGGTCTTCTAAAAGTCTTCCTTACCCATCCACCATGTTTGATGGCCCATGGCGTGGCACACTGTGCCACGTGCTTGGCGGCCCAGTCGACAGCTCTACACCATCCCCCCACTCTTACAGCACGAGCACAAACTTCACAAAGAAACGCTAGGACTACTAAAGCTCTTTGCTCTGTGTGGACGCAAGCCTGGAAAAATTTTGATGAAAATGTAAACTTTAAATTTAAACCCTCATAATAACTTACAAATCGAAACAATCAAGGACGATTCCAGGGATGAATAACTAACTTTTAAGTTTTCAATATGTATAACATGTTCCAAAAAGGTCTTAAGTTGTTAAGTATCTTATTGACGCATTCGATATTTACATGACTAACACCCGGTTTCTGAAAGGCTTGTCAACTATAAAATTAACTAATCTCCTTTTAAATCTCTTGTCAAGTCATCTGATTGGTTGTTGATAATTCAGTCAACCAATCAGATGACTTGACAAGAGATTAAATTGATTTTAACATTGATCAGACTTTCGGAAACCGGGCGTATGTCTGTTAGCTGCACTATTTTCCGTGAGCCGAAGACATTTAAGTGCAATTACAGAACAGCCGCCTTATCTTGGCGAGTCTGAAGTTAGCCGTTTGTTTGCGCAATGGATCTTTTAGAAACAAACTGTGTACTGCGCAGCTAATCGGCTAACTTCAGACTCGCCAAGATACGTCGGCGGTATTGTACGTAAGGTAATATTGTTTCTTCTTCCTCACCTGACACAACTCCTGCATGATATCTTCAAACTCGACCTCGTCAAGGCACAGCAGGGATATGTGTTCTGCCTCAGCTGCAAGCCGGGCTCGAGCCTTCGTCTCCCTGAACCTTCGAGCTGCTCGCTCCAAAGACCTCCAGTCGCGCCAATACATCCACCATCCTCTGAAATGACGACCACAATTGCCAAGAAAGTCTTTACCTACATATTTTGTTATTGACTAAATAACTTATATTTTGATGTATATGCACTCCCCAAAACTGTCCGTTTAAAATTCATCTGCAGTTAAATCCCGTCCGAAGGTTGTCTAAAAGAAATTGCTTTTTATATTAGCGATAAAACCGCCAATTGCACTGCCTTTTATTTTTGTTATTTTCTGTGTTTTTTTATTAATACTCAATATCTTTATTGCTTTTCCAGAAGTACATTAAAGGTGGTAACAATTTGTGTGAGATCAATTATGGACCCTGTAGGGCACAGCAAAATAAGGCAACAGGAAATATCATTATGTTGTACACAAAATAATATTCTATAGCTACCTGTATTATTTCAATGAAAATATTGTGACTGAGTATAATGTTTATGTAACTAACTAACTTACTTTAAAAATCTTCAAATGGTAAAAAGAAAATGTCTTCAAAAAGGTTTGCCTGGATTTTTTCTCAATTTCACATACACATGACACCCAGAACCGGAATAACAATTTGTGGATCACACAAAGAGTTGTTCCGTGCGGGAATCGAACCCGCGACACGTAGCACGGCAGTCAGTTGCCCAGTTGCCAAGTTAGTAACCAAATACTGAATATAATAATTTAAACTTCGTCCCATTGATGAGAATTTCCAAATCGACATAGAAAAACCTAAATATAGTACAACCCGTTAAACGATATTGTCCACAAATCCTCATACCCCCCAATCCCTAATTCCCTAACGTCCAATCAAAGGGCTGGTAGTACGTAGGCGGCACTGATAGCTCACTATCAGGTTATCCGACTGCTCAATTGCCCCATTTTCTGGTTAAAATAGCAGTACCTAGAAAGCCAAGAGAAAATACGTACCTTTGATCAGGTTTAGCTGGTGCCACAAAGCAGGGCGGTGGCCTCAAGTGCTCCAGCCTTAGATGCTGAAGCAGTAAAGCCCTGAACAGCCTGACTCCTCTCTCTTCCTCTTCTCCCTGCAGCTCAGGACCTCGCCAGTGGCCCTGGCACTCGTCTCTTCTCTCCTCATCTAGGGAAACTTGGCGTAAAAGTGGAGCTCGTGGTGTATCGTAGTCTTCTAGGCCTTGGACACTGCATGCTGGAAAAACATGGTTTCATAATGACATTGAAGATATTCTTAATAACATAAAATAATAGAAAGGAAGGAAGGAATTATAAAAAAACAATAATAAAAATAAAATAGAAAAAAATAACAGAAATAGAATTGTCAATTACGAATTACGAGTAAAACAATGAAATATGCTATTTTTTTATCGGTTCAGCAGTCTGGGTAGACCTGCTAAACATCCACGTTTCTATATTCTTAATGGAGCCATATCATAGGTGTCCTGAATTATTGTATATCGTGTGCACGCAATAGTAGGTTAGTAGGACGTTTGTTCTGTATTCTGAGAGTAGGACATACAAAATTCATAAAAATCAATCGTTTTTGACGTTTCAATAAAATTACTGAATTTTACTATACTCGGAATTTTAATTCCATTCCAGATTTGAAAATTTCAGTGTTGCAACGTTATGACACGTAATAAATAGTGACGTTGCGAAATTATTCGATATGGAAATCGAATATTTCTGAATCGATTCCTCTCGTTTATACATTTACTCTCGTAAACTAAGTTTATCAGGAAATAAAATATTTCTGAACCGATAATTTAGTTTTGACAATTAATTAACGATCTGAGAATTTTCTTTTGTAATTGTGTGTGAAATTAATAAAAAATGTGATCATGAAGGAACGTGACAAATAAAACAGACATTTTATAAATTGTCGCCGTCATCGCTATCGCTATCGCCGTTACACTATGTAACATTTATTATGAATTGTGTCTTTGATATTTATTGTCAATTAACATATCTAGCTTACTCATTTTTTCCTCTTCTTTGAAAACATGGGATACACATTTAGACCATTCGGTAGCCGTAATTTTTTGAATGCCTTCCTGAAACTGTTTCACTGATTGTTTATCGATTTTTGTGTTCATCACTACACTGTTATATGTGGTATCATTATTTCACAAAATGACAGTGGTCAATGTCAAATCAGGAATCGAATTAAAAGTCTGACTATAGTTATCAACAACCGTATTAGATACTACATTCTGCCATCACCTATACCCGGGCAGCCAAGATGAAAAGTAGCCTAGTTATTACACACAAGATAATCTATCTCAGAGCCAATTTTCATCTAAATCTGTTGAGTAGTTTTCACGTGAAAGAGTGACAAACATCCATCCATCTATATATGTACTTATAAACTGTCGCGTTTATAACAGCAGTAGTATAAAGATACCTTGACATGGTGACCGTTTAAATAATAAAAAATATCTACAGCACATAACAACACGCTTTAATTAAAGCACTTTGTAGTACAATCAAGATAATAGGTTTTACCACTTGACACATACACGCACACTTTATACCACGCCAGCTGTGAGTTAAGCATGTCGAGTAAATATTTTGTTAAGGAAACCTTTTAATGTGTAAATTCAGTGATTTTTACAAATAAACATGAAACAATGGGCTTTTTAATGGTTGGAAGTACGATCGGCATGGCATTTAGTTTCGTTTTTTAAGTAGAGAAAGGTTTTTTGGAAGCAATGAGCACGCTTAAGAAGCGCGGTGAGCACATAAAACCGGCGTCAAATAACGCTTGATCTGTTTCATCCTGTGTGTGGAGTTACCGGACGCTTAATCCTTCTCCTTAATCCTTAATTCCCGCTTAGTCCTTAACCCTTCCCTCAGCCCACCCCAGACCCCAAAAAGGCATTGACGGCACCTATAATTCCTCTGGTGTCAACGGCGATGCTGCAGTGTCTCATTGGCCAAGTGGCTACAAGCACGACTACCAAGAAGTCTGCCAAAAATAGCACCGAAGTGAAAACGCTAAAACTGCTAAGAAGATATCTTAATCAGCCGGGGTTGCGGTGTAAGCGCAATGAGGCACCGCGGCCTCGGCCTAAAACAGGAGAAGGAACAGGAGGGAGGGGGTTAGTCAGTAAGTGTTACTCCCTCTCGCCTCATCCTTTTTTATGGAATAGGTGGCAAACGAGCAGACGGATCACCTGATGGTAAGCGATCGGCGCCGCCCATGGACTTCCGCAACACCAGAGGAGTCACAGGTGCGTTGCAAGCCTTTTAAGAAGGAATATGCTCGTTTCTTGAAGGTTTGAAGGTCGTATCGGTTCCTGTACGGTACCCTGGGCGACAGAAGTCATTTGATGATTATAACAGTGAAGGCGCGCCAACTGCTAGTATCTTAATAGATTAATACAACAACGGGGCACTCGTCCCAGTTCATACAATCAAGAATCTTCTTCGAAACATTTTATTATCTTAACCTAATAAATCATCATTGTCCTCCAACGACTAGTTGGATTCGTCTGACTCCAATCAAAAAGTTGTAAATTAATTAGTTCCATTAAACACAATTAATTTCGAACTCTCGCTAAATAATAGTTACGTTTGTTAAACTGAGCTTGGTTTCATTTTGTGTTTTCTAGTTTATCACGGACCTATTATTGGTATAGCTTACGCTATAACCCTAGAACTTTCTTAAAATCCTTGTAGGACAGTAGCAAACCACAATTAATTTTACGATCCGGTAGGTTAATCAAGTTAGCTTAGTAGATTATTAAATAATAAATTAACCTCATTTAGATAAATACACGTTATCAAAGTGCAGGTATTGTAAATAAATGTAACGTGTGACTACGCCTTTCAGTATTCTGAAATACTGAAACTGTTTTATACTTTTTCAGTGTCGGTTTTTGTCGTAGTTGCGTTTTAGTTTTCATACCTTTTATTATATCAATTAAATTTATTCATTAATTTCATTTAAATACTAGAGCTATAACTCTACTACAGATACGACTTTCTCTCCTTTTCTTAAGAAAAGGCTAATGTTATTCATTGCAGTTTCCTACGACAGCATCTCAAGTGGAAGTGGGTCACTCGTTAGGAGCAGATAGACAATAGTCTCCGTACTCAGACAGACGTGTCCCATAGGTCTAGGTACGTATCTAAGAATAAGTAATGACTATGCTAAGTAACTTATGACGAATATTTTGTTCAGGTAATATTTTTTTCAGGTTTTAATCATTAAACATATTCGTAAAGCATTCACTTAAAAAATTCTCGCAGGACTAACATTTTGATCCGATTTGGTTTCAAACCGTTAGATTCTATCGATCCATTGAATGCTGTTACTTATCTAGATTATTATCATTTTAAGTGTGGGAGAGCCATGCTTGGGCACGAATGGGTCGGCTCGACCGGAGTGATACCACGGCCTCACAGAAAACGGGCGTGAAATAACCACAGCGTTGTGTTTTGCCGTGTGAGTGAGGTTACCGGAGGCCCAATCCTTCCCCTTCCCGGACCCTTCCCCAATCCCTAAATCTCCAAATCCCTAATCCCTAAAATGTCGGCAACGCACCCGTAACCCTCCGTTGTGGGTGTCTATGAGCGGCGCTGATTGCTTACCATCGGGTAATACGTCTGCTCGTCTGCCGACTTATTACACAAAAAAAAATTAAGAAATTTTTATTTATATTTTAGTATTTCAAACTACTGCCGGCGGTTTCGCCTGTAGTCATCATCATCATCAGTTTTTAAGTGCCCACGGCTGAACTAAGGCCTCTTCTCACACAGACAGGTTGAGCATTACTCTCTCCGCTTACTCAAGGCGGATTAGTGACTTCAAACTTATAATTAAAAATGATCAGTTCAGGTTTCCTCGGCATTTTACTTTTACTCACCGTATACATATAAATAAACTTAAGATTTAGGGAGTACATACAATCTGGTAACCTTGTCACGGCGCAGCCTGATATCACGTGCAAAACCAGGTCAAAAAGCCTGTGTGTCATTCAAGACTGTAATCTATCACTATGCTTCATTCAGTTGCATTCATCAATCCGTCGATCGGTACTGTCAATTTTTCGCATTTATATTAGTAGGACACAGTTTTAAGTGAGAAAAAATTATTTTAATTGTAAAATTATGATCAATCTACGTTTTTATATAAAAACTTTATACGACTAATGTAAACGATCAATCTTAATTGAAAAGTCGACAAACAATAGGAAAAATGAATCTTTGAGAAAACTGTCCATCAATAAAATAAACATTGACACAGTTGACACAGCTTCGCGTTTTTCCCGCTTTCTATATTAATTTAATCAAATTTCCAATTCACATTGGCATCTATCAGCGAACTTTGTGATTGATGTCGGAGAATCAATAAATATTGACATAAAGTTAACTAAGGGATTTTTTTTATGTTAGGACGGCGACCTGACGAATAATATGATGGTGATGCTAATTACAATCGGCCTCACCCATCGACACCTGTACTCCCCTTTTGGGGATTAGGGTTTTGGAGATTTGGGGATTGGGGGACGGGAAGAAGGATTGATAGATGAGCTGATCTTCGTAACTTTATTAATCGTTGAAATTTTCTCGGTACTATAGTTACCTTCAGTTTGAGAAGCAAATGTCATCTATTTAAGTCAAGTATGACTGACAATCTATACTTATAATAAATCTGTAGAGAGGTCGATTCTGTACATTAAATATTTTTTCAAAATAACTACCAGGGTTTGATAAGTGATCGATACTGATGCCAAAAATGCAATCAGTAAAATTTTTGTCTGTCTGTCTGTCTGTCTGTATGTTCGTTATAGAAATAAAAACTACTTGACGAATTTTAACAAAACTTGGTACAATTATTCTTTATACTCCTGGGCAGGTTATAGGATACTTTTCATCACGCTACAAATAATATGAGCAGAGCAGTAAAGGGAAATGTTGGGAAAACGGGAGAAGTTACTCCTTTTTTTTAAGTTTCCGTCGCGTGTGTAGCCTCAATGGTTAAAGTTACATAGAAATAATGTATGACGGAAATATTTTACATAACATAATCTAAAAAAAAATGTTCTACAGCATATGTCTATCTTTTATGGTTAACTCACAATAGCACGTGTAACTCACGCTATAAGGATTATTTTTGTCTAACGGTTGCCGCGCTCGACGCGACGTGGTACAAAATATAATATAATATATTAGGTTTTATGAAATATTTGTAATACTTACCTATTAGTTAGGTACCATTCTATCTTTGGACGGACGGATAGTGGAGACTTAGTAAGTAATAGGGTATTTACCTACCCATTGGAAATGTACCCATAAAAATGAGATGATTAATAACAAATTTTATGTACCTATACTTCGATTTTGTTCTATTGCTATAGGCTGCTTTTTATCAACACAGCACGCTGGCGAAAGCTAGTAATAAATAAATGAAAGAAAAACAGATTTTTCCAGCGTGCCACACTAAGACGGTAATATTGAATATAATTATCGACAGGTTAAAAATATTTGAATAATAACAAATATTTAAATAAAAAAACTCATAATATCGTATCCATTTTTTAAATATAATTATTGACAGGTTAAAATGATTTAAACAATAAAAAAATACTATTTTACTCACCCCTTAAAAACGACGATTGTGAGCGATGCATTATTATGTTTATACTGAAAAGAAAATAAACACTATTATGAAAATATTCAGCCTTAAATCAATCAGAAAGTAGCAGGACTTGCACTACAAGAGAGCCTTGTTTTAGCACGGAAGGGCCAACTGGACCGGAGTGATATGATACCACAGCCTTACAGAAAACGAACGTGAAACAACCACAGCATTTTGTTTCCCCGTGTGAGTGAGGTTACTGGAGACCCAATCCTTTATTACCTTCCCCAATCCCTAAATCTCCAAAGGCTTAATTCGCCAGCAACGTCAAATAACTCTTCTTGTGTATCGAGCGTCCATGAGAGGCGCCGATTGCTTACCATCAGGTAATCCGTCATCTCTTATGCCGTCTTATCACATAAAGAAGGGCTTAATTATAGAGAAAAAGTATAGGCATACGTCCCTAATATAATTAAAATGAAATCTAATCGATTAGTTTTTGTAATTTGTATACAGATTTTGTATGTAGGTACTTACTTAATACAAACAAAAACAGTTAAAAAGTTTGTTTGTACCTGCTAATGTAGTGGAAACATCAGCTAGGTACCTATAAATATTAAAATGAAATACGCTTGCATATGATTGCCCCAGTTCTTTAGGAAAGTAAACTGTTCATCATCGCGACACTACAATTTAAGAAAGTAACACGATTGTTACAATTTCGTATTAATCACGTATTGTAAGTATTTAATTCCCGAAAATGTTGGCAAAGCAGTGGACATGTTAATAGAATACTACACTCACTTTTCCACACACAAGTTACAATAAAATAAAATACGAATTCCCTACTTTTTTAATGCAATATATATTTTGAAAATGGAACATTTGGTATTTTATCTAAATCGCTTCTTTATTTTTTTATTCGCAACATACATTTTGAATATGGAACATCAAACCCGTGTTATTTTTTTTATAGCGTTATATCTTCGAACATAGAACATTATGCAGACCTTCTCCATTTCAAATGTGTAGTAATTAAAAGTTTGCATTTAGAACAACAGGAAGCCTAAACAATATTACCTACTAAGTAAGCACATTCGTTAATCTTTCACTTCACAGTTAATTAAATTTTATACTAATAGGATAAGCCCGACCTATTTTACGCAAAACTATACCCTGGAGCGATATTTACCTTACTCAAGTTTAACTGAACGGTAATCAAAATTTGTTTAACTTAACTTTGAACTTAAGATAGGTATTGTTAAATTTATTGCTCGTGTAGATAATAGTTTTAGCTTAAGAAAATCCTGTTTTACATATTGTCCGTTTTGTAAGAAAAATTAGGAAATTCATCTGTCAATTGAACGAAAAAAAAGAAACCCAATCAGACAAGGACAAGTACCTATATATAAAAGGCCATTCAACGACATATAGGTAGACAACAAGTTTTTATAAGCCTTGATGATTAATATACAGCTTAGAAAATGTCCTACATATAAGTCATAGACACATCAACAGCGCTTCTACTCGAACACATTCATTAAATATTAATCTGTCCCGAAGGCATAATATTAGGCTTTATAAATATTCTTAGCCCAGACAGTCCTATTTTCTATATGAGACGATTACTCGTACCAAAACGAAGGAGACCACAAAAAAGAAGAAAACAACAGAAACCTCACTCCCTTAACCTCTTTAAACAAAACACGGGCGCGTAGCAACAGAGCTCTTTCAAAAATGGAACAAGAAATTCCGCGGCAAATTATCTGCACCGCCATCTTTTTTATCAACACAGATAATAAAAACCTACCTGGCGTCACTTTGAGAGTCTGGTAATCCATTTCGATTATATTCAAATTGTACAGAATCCACCAGCGTATCTTTCCAGGAATGTCTTCGTACTGACAGTGAGTTAAACAGTAGCGACCTTGCAGTACGGGTCATGACCCTGACACACATTTGTACGCATGCGCGAGACTGGGGGTTGGTAGAAAGGGAAGAAGTTCCAGGTATTTTACTCCAGTACCGTACTAGTATTATGTATAATTTACACTGTAATAATCACTTGTAATTGTCAATTTGATGTCATGTTATGTAAACAAGTTTATAAAGTAACTGGAAAACTTGTTGTTTTGACTTTCAATTTGTAACAAATTGATACAGAGTCATAGATGGCGTTGCTCTTTCCAACTCTTCGGAAAGTCAAACTTTCCCTACTTATATCCTTTTCTCATTTTCAACACTATGTTTTTAAGAGTAATCCTTACTTTCCATTTGGGATTTAATAAATATTTAAACTTATTATTTAAAACATTTGAGTTATCTTTTAAATTTTTATGGCATGTTTATTTTTATAGAAAAACAAACGGTTAGTCCCATTAGTTAAATAATACAGTTTAATAAGATACACAGATTAATAATGTACAGATTAATAAGATACTGGTTTTTCTCAGTTTTTAAGAATAACTTTTAAAATAATATTGTATAGACGTCAATTATTAAAGCCAGTCTTCTGAAGTAAAACACATTGAAATGCTTTATATGGGATTTCTTTCTATCATTTCAATAAAGGTTTTGGTATTTCTAATTTAAAATTGCGCTTTCGCACTTTAATATTTAAACGTATTTATATAAAATAGGCGTTTTCAATTTCGACATATATGTATATATGATGTAACAACAAATTGAAAACATTCCCATTTAGCTTGAACTGAATCTGAAGACGAATAGAAACAAAATAGATACGAGATAAATAACAAATGTGTGATTGACAAAACCAATATTAACATAGCGTCGTAATCGAAGTAGCACGCCGTTATTTTTAATAAAAAATCTCGGATTCTGAAACGCCGAAGTATGTCAATAGGCTTTCGAAATCGTTGGAGCATCTACTTAGGTAAGAGCGTAGAATTGTCAATTATATTTCAAAATAATACGGTTGAAATTTTATTAAAGAAATCCAGTGTTGACTATATTAATAGGTAAGGTTTTAAATAATAATACCTAATGCTCACTGGTTTAAAAATTCACTTGCCTGAGCCTGAATTCAGGTCTTGAGCAAGCATCGTGTTTAGCCTTTGATGATTTCGCGATCGGCCGATCGGAAAGTATTTGTTTGAAATCTTTAAAGTTTTTATCGAATTAATATTATCTCCTACTTTTAATCCCCGAAGGACGTCTTTTTATTGGGGGGACAAAATGTGAGGTGAGGTGAGGCGAGAGGGAGTGTCAGACTCTTACTGACTAAAAACCATCCTGTTCGTGAAACGTTATTGTCCTTGCCCCGCAACCCTGGCTGAACATCGGCCCTGCTGTGCCCCATCTGTGGTGGTCTACTGGCTCTTATAAATAAATGTATATTATAAAGAAAAGAAGTTAAAAAAGTAACATTAAAAATCCTAAATAGATTCATTTTTCTTATACTTATTTGTTGATTTCTTATGTTAAACCTTTTTAGCAAAGCTTGTTAAGATTTCTAACAGAACAGTTTTCGTTTTGATATATAATCTTCAATGCCGTTTCGGTATGATTTCTGTAACGCATTTATCATTAAAGGCCTTAAGAACATCCAACCATCACAACCAAAGAATATAAATACCTAATTATTTACATTTGTAGATATTCACACAATTCAAGTGTGGGAGAGCACAATTCGGCACGAATGGGTCGGCTCGACCGGAATGACGCGTCACAGAAAACCGGCGTCAAACAACCACCGCGTTGTGTTTTACCGTGTGAATGAAGTCCGGAAGCCCATCCCATCCCCCGATCCCTCCCCAATCCCTAAATCTCCAAAACCATAATCCCTAAAAGGTTGGCAACGCACTCTCAACTCTCTCACTCGCACTCTCTAACTCCTCCGTTGCGGGTGTCCATGGGCGGCGCTGATAGCTTACCATCAGGTAATACGTTTGTTCGTTTGGCGACCTATTACATAAAAAAAATTCGCTTTAACTTTAATAAAAAGTAAACTTGCGTGTTATAACTAATTTAAAAGAGAAGTTAGTTCGGGGGTTTTAGTAAACAAAATTATATAACTGTGACATTTATTTTTACTTAATTTACGATTATGTTGTTTTCCCAGAGTTCTGTATTAAAACGAATAACCATCAGTTGTTATGGATCGTTTTATTTTCCTTTTAAATAAAGACGTTTATGGAATGTTTTATTTATTATCGAATTACAGTTCCGTTTCATCATTGGGTCGATTATACAAACTAATATAACTCTCTCTGTCTTTTCTTCACGCCTAAATTACTGAACCGATTTCTGTGATATTTGGTACAGATATAGTTTGGAACTCGAGAAAGGATAGTTTTTATACCAAAAATCTGCAGGAAGTCACTATTCCACGCGTTCGGTGTCGCGGGCAAAAGCTACTTGTGAATAGCCAAGAAGAGTCTTTTTATTAAAAATACCATAAATTGAAAATGTAATGTTCGTAGTTTCTGGTCCTAAGGTCCGAAGTCGAAATATCTGTAGCCCAAATGGAATCTCAAGATCGAGTGATTGATATTTGTTTTTAATGTATTTATCCCATTTTAAGAGTTATATTTTCAAAATTAAATTTTGTTCTCCTTTTTTATGGAATAGAGCAGCGAACGAGTAGATGGAACATCTGATAGTAAACAACTGGCACCGCCTATGCATACTCTTTCATAAGATATTTTGCAACAGATTTTCCGGCCTTTTAAAGATTAATGCTTCGAGAATTGGGAGAGTTAGAAATGGGAAATTCAGCCTCTGGTATCGTCACTCTAACGGCGAATCTATCGCAAATATATTTATGTATAGTGAATATATTTTGAATAATAACTAAGTATCTAAATTATTTACAAAACGGGTAACGAAGTCATCAACATAACACTGAGCATAAACATAGGCCCTAAGTGACTTGAAACGAGTAGAGCTTTTCTCGAATAGTTGACTTGATTAGCAGTAAACTATCAAAAATCGTTCTTATTGATTTTCTGTATACATCGATTAATCTTGAATTATATAATTGTTTCAATGTTTAACTATAATGGCTGTGTTTCAAACAGATATTTCAAATCCTGGAACACAAACCGACTAATTTAAAAGCAACAAGCAGCGTCTGCTATCGAAGTCTGATTGAGTTAGTTCATTGCTTTAATAGTTAGGGACTCAATTGGTTATCGGCGCTCGTTGTGCAACTACTTGTATTGTACCGGAAGATCCACATTAGTCAGGATTATGCTCCTATCATTCGTCCAGACTACACGTGTACACTCCCGAAATTTTAAACTCCGAACTACAATCACATAAATTTATGTTTCTATTTATTTTTTAATCTTAGTGTTTCTTGAAGTTTTGTGTTCAGTGTAAAAACATGTGTATTCTATTAACAAAATGAGAAATTCTCCAAAAAGAAAAGTTTCAACGGACTTCGAACCGTTTTGCTGTCGAAAACTCTCCGTGACCGCTTGCGCGTTTGCTGTGTTTTCATTACTAGTACAAACGTACAATTTCTTTGACAATGGTGAAGTGAACATTGATTTAGAAGCTAAGAAGTTAATGAAGAATGTTCTAGAAGAAAGTATTGAACAAAAAGTTGAGGAGTATTTTGTGAAGATTAGTGGGAGCACATCACATAGGCTAAAAAGAGAAGCTATGTTGGTATGTAAAAGAATTCGTAGCTACATCAGTTGTTAGCCAAAAATATTTGAAGAGTTGTAAATGTTTTTTTCACTTCATTTATAATATTTAAAAGTCCTTGTTTTGCTATTATAAAAGATGCTTATCTGCTTTTAAACTTGTATTGTAAAGACTCCTTTGTATATATTTTTATATGTATTAATATTATTACTTCAGAATTTCATTTGAAACAAAACACAGTCGTTGGTCTATAAATAGTTTAAATTGTGTTAGTAATAGAATCAAGTCCCTACGCATTACGCTAGCTAATTTGATTTACTGTCATAGTAAATAATAATATTAACTCTCAAAGACCTGTAAGTAGTGTTCGTAGTTTCTGGTCCTAAGGTCCGAAGTCGAAATAATTTAATGTAACATTATGATTTCCTTACTGTTACGTTGCATTTCATATTTTAATTTAGTTAATGTCGATATAGTGCACAAATAATTTACGAAAACTACGAAACGAAAGCATTACAATAAGTTTTACTGGATGCTAGCGTATTTATGTAAAACACAGTCTTGTTGATGCAACTTTGTTGAAAAATATTTCTGCCCATTATTTTTATGTCATGCCATGAAAGAATCATCATCATGAAAGAATATGCATTAATCTATCCTCTTACTTTTTCGAACTTCTCTTTAATTTTTGATACAACCCGAAAACAATATGTACTTTCTTAATAATGTTCGTCTAGTCTAAGGAAGCGACTTTCAATATGAATGACACTCGGCACTCTGAAAAAAAGTGGTCCTTCGCTCCTAACAGTTAGGTTATATTTCCAAAATTTCTATAACCTTCAGAAACAGTCAGTGAATCAAGAAGACAACACAGTTACTCCTCATGTGGAATTCTTTAACCCTAAAATGCGATCGGAGCTGGAAGAAAAGGATGCCGCAGAAATGAGAAGGACTGGCGCTAAAGGACCAGCGCCTGGCGGTGACACTTGGGTGTGGTTGACCAGCTATTCTAGAGTTCCAGTATGTATATGAAATTCTTCGTTAATATTTACTGCAATCTCTATATTATACTTATTTTAATTTTAATTCAGCACTCCTAATATAGATGACCTTTTCACTAACATTGAGAATATGAAAACTATCATTTTGTAAATTCTGGTCTATTTAATTACTTATGATTAGTTTAGAACTATCGCGTGTTTGCCAGAAATTTACTGACTATTGTTTTCACTTAACCTGAATCAAGTCCATTACTATTTTCTTTAATATAAATAGAACAACAACCTCATTTCTTTATTTAATATTAATATCAATATCCATAACATAACTTGCAGTATAAAGTAGTCCAAGGATTTTGCAAAGCTACTCAAGACTATTGCCCACCTGGTGTGCAAGGTCCAAAAGGACCAACTGGTTTACCAGGACCAAAAGGAGAACGAGGAGACGCTGGGGCACCTGGAACACCTGGACATGCCGGAAGCAGAGGTCCGGTTGGACCACCGGGGCCAAAGGGTAAAACTTAAAACGACATTTTAATACAAAAAATATATAGAAATTGAGTATAGAGGCAACTTATTGTTTGCGTAAACTTTTTTCTAGGTGAACGTGGATTCCCAGGTAACCCTGGCCTTGATGGTCGTGACGGTGTCCCAGGAGAGCCAGGTCTTGATGGTATGTCAGGCCGAAACGGTGCTGATGGGGCTCCAGGCAAGGACGGAAGAGATGGTGTACCTGGCAGAGATGGTAGTCCAGGAAAGAACGGAAAGGATGGAAAAGATGGTGAGCTTATTCCATCTATATATATAAAAGAAAGTCGTGTTAGTTACACCACTTATAACTCAAGAACGGCTGAACCGATTTAGCTGAAAATTGGCAGGGAGGTAGTTTAGAGCCGGGAAAAGGACATAGGATAGGATAAAGTAGGTAGAGTAGGTTAGGTAGAGTAGGGTAGGTAGAGTTGGGTAGATAGAGTAGGGTAGGTAGAGTAGGGTAGGTATAGTAGGGTAGGTAAAGTAGGGTAATTAGAGTAGGGTATGTAGAGTAGGGTAGGTAGAGTAGGGTAGGAAGAGTAGGGTAGGTAGAGTAGGGTAGGTAGAGTAGGGTATGTAGAGTAGGGTAGGCAGAGTTGGGTAGGAAGAGTAGGGTAGGTAGAGTAGGGTAGGTATAATAGGGTAGGTAAAGTAGGGTAGGTAAAGTAGGGTAGGTAAAGTAGGGTAGGTAGGGTAAGTAGAGTAGGGTAGGTAGAGTAGGTAGGGTAAGTAGTCAAATGACGGGAGCGACGCCGCGGGTAAGAGCTAGTAGTAAAAAAAACAACCAAATGGGTTTTATAACTTGTAGATTAATATACAATATTCCATGCATAGCATCATAGATGAATTTTAAGATACCTAAGAAAGTGGGGTCAATAATTATCAAATCTCTGTCTCTCTTCAATGTAGAAACGATCTATGCAACTGTTTGCTAAACGATCCAAAATGTGTCCTCTGATACAAAAGTGCAGTTAGTCTTTGGCCTCTTAACACTAGTCACTGAAGATTACTTAGTTCTGTAAAAAACTAAAAAAATATTCTGTCAGTCAATACAAGTATCAGTTATGATTAAATCCTCACCACAGGTCGAGCTGGTGCTCCTGGACCTCCAGGAATGAGAGGACTAAAAGGTGACAAAGGACCAATGGGAGCAAAGGGTCAGCGAGGCAATGATGGCCGTGATGGAGCCCCAGGAAGACCTGGTCTTTCCATCTACAACTATACTTTGGAAAAGGAACTGTTTATCCCACCTACTTTTGCTCGTGAGTATTGTATTCCAGATTTTCTATATTTTATAAAATATATATATGTCTCAGAGTAAAATATATAATAGTCGCAGCACAGTTGGCGCACTGACGTAGCAAGCGGTTCGATTTCCGTAAACAGAAAAACGTTGTAGTTGCGGGTCTAGGTATAATGTGTCCATTTTATATGTAAAATAGTATATGTATGCGACAACACGGGAGAAACGCTTTTTAATAAATCCGAGTAAAAATGCCGTGGTGGCCCAAAGGCTAGGGCGCCCGCTTCTCATGCATGAGGGAGCGGGTTCGACACCGGCCAAGTACCAATGTGACTTTTACTGAAGTAAAAGAAAAAACAAACGGTGAAGGAAATTGTCGTGAAGAATCCTGGACTTATAATTTCTAATGATAATTTAGAAATCGCCAATCCGCCTTGAGGAAGCGTGGTGATTAATGCACAAACCTTGTCCGTGTGAGAAGAGGCCTTGCTCAGCAATGAGCACTATGTCAAAGTTTCTATGCATAACTCAATAATTCTGGTAGTTGTAGTAAAACAAAGTTAAAAAGTAATTTATGGAAAATAATATTTCCAAGGTTCAAACCTAAAACAACGCAGTACGTCATAGTTAGCGCGGCAACCTCCCTAAGGATTAATTAGCTGCAGAGCGTGATTTAGAATTTGCCCAACATATATGAAGAACGTGGTTCAAATTATACATTTAACTAGTACAGTATTATAACAGGAATAGCAAGTGACAGTTTTCTTGACAACAATTTCAATGATTGCTTTCTTATTATTATTATACATTTTTGCGAAGCCTTTGGTAATAAACAAGTATGTAGCGACATCTGTGGCACAACATGCAGCAACAGTGCCAAATCACCTTCAAGATTAGTACATCGCGGTATAAAAGCTCTCGACGCGATTAGAACAAGTACGAAAACCCCGACAATTGTCGGGCAGTAGCCCGCCAGGCACGATCACCTCGCCTGGTCGGAGGATCCTGCTTTTCCGAAATTTGGGAACTTTGCTCTCTGTTCCCTAAAAGTACAACAAAATTTTTAACCGAAGCCCGAGGCAAGATGTTACCTATAAAAAGCGAAAATAAATAGTCAATTACTTATGTGTTACAGAGGACCAAACCCGCGTGATAGTGCGAGAAGGAGACACAATGCGTATCAGCTGCAATCCCATGGGACGACCAGAACCCACGGTTGAGTGGAGGAGGTACGACGGAACTGCTGTCATACAGGTAAGTGATAAGACCGTAAACGAGGAGACGGATTACCCATGGACATCCGCAACACCAGAGGAGTTACGAGTGCGTTGTCGGTCTTTTGGGCATCAGGGTTTCGGAGTTATAGGGGTTGGGGAGGGATTGGAGATGGATTGCGGAAGAGTTGGGGAGCGATTGAAGAGAGATTTTAACGAGGGCAAGAAGGTTTTTCCGTACTTGGACAGATAGTCTTAATCAATAATTATCATCATTCATTATTCACACCAAAACTGGATATGGACGTAAAAAGAGGTTGTATATTGTTTCTTCGTTTTAATTTATTGTTATTACGTATCTGTTGTCACATGTCGAGATGGCCCAGTTTGGACAAGATTTTGGCGTATCGCCCAATCTGGTCTACAACAAAATGCGTTTATAGAGTACATGTTTAGATAAAAACTTAACTTAATTAAAGTAGGCTGTCTGTTTAAACCAGGAATAAAAAACTATACTTAATTTTGTAGTAAAATATTTCATTACTTTCGCGCAGTGTTAACCGCTGGTCCTATTACTCATATGTGATGTTTTATAACCTTCCTCTTTAAATTGACTATCTACTAACACAATATTAGATGGAGTTTCTTGCTCATTTTTGTCCATTGAAACCTACATTTGGAACGAGCAAATAGCTTCACTAAAACTACTCACTTTTTTGCCGTTCAAAAGTGCCTGTAAAGGTCTAAATGAAATAAATGATTTTGGCTTTAATAATAGGTTTCTTTTTCGAATTACATGACTGCACGGTTGGTGCGGTGGCTGGGCAACTGGCTGCCGTGCAACGTGTCGCGGGTTCGATTCCCGTACAGAACAACTCTTAGTCTGATCAACAAAAACGTAGCGTGGGGCAAGGTTTTTATAAAAAACAAACAAGCAGATTTGTATATAATTTTACAGGTTCTAACTTCTTAGAACTAACACTGACTTAATTTTTCATACTAAAATCTCCAGGGATCATGGCGTGATGCATCAGTGAGTGGTCATGTGCTGAACATTCCCAACGTGTCGCGTTGGCATACTGGGAAGTACGTGTGTCTAGCCAACAACGGCATGCAGCCTTCAGCCAACCAGACTACCGATGTCGAAGTACATTGTAAGTTTTTATATAAGACATAGTAGTAAACGAGCATACGGATTACCTGATGGTAAGCAATTGGCGCTTTAAATAGACACCTACAACACCAGAGGGATTGGCACTGAGCCATTAACCTTTACAGTCTAACCTTAAAAAGACTGGTGGTGGTGGTAGGCGGTCCTTAACCGCAAAATCCTGTTAAGGATTTGGGTTTGGGGATTAATATGGTGGAAGGTGGTTTGAGCGTTCAGTAACCTCACTTACATAGAAAAACAAAAGGCAAACGGCAAACATTGTTCCAAATCACTTTTCTGTAAAGCTGTGGTAGCAGGGTTAACTGGCCCATACTTAAATAAGAATGGCGTTTCCACTCTTAAAAAAGATAGAATACTATTCTTGTTATAACAAATGTGTTATTGTTCCAATCCTTCCCAATCCTTACCCTCCCTCAATCCCTCCTCAATCCCTAAATCTCCAAATCCCTAATCCCTAAAAGTACTACACACCTAAACACTCGTAACTCCTCCATTGCGGGTGTCCATGGGCGGCGCTGATTGCTTACCATCAGGTAATCCGTCTGCTCGTTTGCCGAACTATTACATAAAAAAAATGTATTTTTGGCTGAAAACCAAATACAAACATTTATCCACTTTTATATAATCCATAATAAATTGCTAAAAAAAAAATGTTTTCTCTTGATTAAATTAGCTCTCATGTCAATGAACAAAATAATCATTATTTACAGTCAGCCCTTACATTCGGGTGCCAAACAACGTGGTCTATGTAACCAACAAGACTGTGAAGATTGAATGTGAGGTGAGTGGTGAAACATCTAATTAAAATCTATCTATTATTTTGTAAAATATAAAAATATCTTAGACAAAATGATTTATAGTACCTTCTTACATAACTTCAAGATGTATATAATGTTAACAAAATAAAATAACTATAGGTATAATAATATTAAACAGAAGATGTATTAGCATAGATTTTTGACATTGAGTTTGGCGAAAATACTTATGTACAATCCATTACCTATGAAACATTAGCTTAGTGACTTGGTTTCGAACCATACTCGCTAATAACTTTTGAGTTTGTGCCCGATTCCTGGAAAGAAAATTATAATAAATTGTTTAAATTTTCGATTAGAATAATGTTCACTGATTATAACGTTGATAAAGGAGCGATTCTTTTTTCAAACGCGGGGCAATTTGTAATAGCTATTAAACTATTGGTTTAATAGGTATTATGAATTTATTCCCAAGATAGGTCCCAATGGAAAAATACTGTGGAAGCCCTCTGCCCCACCTGGGGACATAGGAACTTAAGTCATTAAACTATTTGAGAATCGCCCACGAGTCATGACATCCTTATGTTATCTCCCTTATCAAGGACGTAATATGTTGCATATGAAATAAATAGAGAACTAAAAGATCTGTTATCTTCCAGATCCAAGCTTGGCCAGAACCAGTCCTAGCTTGGGAAATAGACGGCATCACTTTGGAAGGACTTCGATACAAAACCGAAGTCGCACCAACAGGGGATCCATGGCGATGGATCATGAGACTAGAAATCCCAGGAGTAAGGGACAGTGATCTTCGTCAATACAGCTGTGTAGCCAAAAATGAACTTAATAATCAAACGGTTAAAGGACATATTAAGTTGATGAGTGAGTAAGTTTTGTTACTTATCGAAGCTGAACTGGGCCTATTTGTCCAACGCTGAGACACACATCACTGTTTTTTTTAATTATTTTTGTTTTGATTAATTTTTACTGGTTTTTTTTTTATCTACTTTTGTATCTGTGTCCAGGCAAATAAAATTATTTCTTTCTTTCTTTCTTTCTACTTTTATGCTACTGACTCGTTTTGCTACGTACCAGAGGACCACTTCTGTTCTGTTGGTCTTGTGTGTATATTAATTGTAATCGAGCTGTGATCTTCCAGTATTAATGATAGAAATAGAATCCTACTAAGCGAGGGCGGGCAACACTAGTCCTACGCCATTTTAACCGCGCGCACTCTATGTCGGGGCTGTCAGAGAGGGAGAAAACTGAATTTGCCCGTTTTGTACTGAATGGCCTATTTCTTAAGTTATATGTCTATTCATTAATATCATTGTGTTTCCATGTTAAAAGTATTAAAAATGTAGAGTAACTTACAAAGCACAAAAGATGAAGTAAATAAATATGTTTGCGGCGAAGTAATAGCATACGTTCCTTATCAAGTTTGTAAAAAAAAACCATCTTAATGTCTCATAGCCTAAAAGATTCAAAAGAAAATAACCAGAATCATTTTAATAATTTAATATTAATTCTCTTTTAAAGAATGGAACTATTGTCCCTTCTATCAGATCCAGGACCTCATCACCAGCAGATACCAGCACAACAGCCCGTAGAGTACGGCTCCCGGCCCCCTACCCTGACTTCCTACGAGGAGCTGTGCGAAGTCCAGAGGTGCCCCACGTGTCCGCGATGTGATCGCGCACAGTTACTCATCACACCGATGAACGGAACTGCCGGTCTTAAACCAAGAAGGAATACCAGTAAGTTTAGAAAAGAACTATCGCTCTTCCTCTTTCCCTCTTTCTTTTTTTTTTTTTTTTTTTAAAAACATAGCCCCACTTTAGGATTTTCTCCTGTGTTGTGGGTGCGTTTACAAACATACAATGTCACATACACATGACACCCAGACCCGAAACAACAATTTGTGGATCACACAAAGTGTTGTTCCGTGCGGGAATCGAACCCGCGACACGTTGCACGGCAGCCAGTTGCCCAGCCACCGCACCAACCGTGCAGTCTTTCGGAAATTATTTGGGGAAACAGATCTAGCTTTAATACAAAATTACTAATTTATCTGTTTTAAGTAAGATGTTTGACATGTTTGGTCACTTGGCACAATAACGCAATAGGTACATAGTGGTATAATAATTAAACCAGAACCTCTTTAAAACAAGTAGGTACCTACATTTTTGAAAAAGCGAGAGGAAGAGGCAATTTATATTTCCTACAAACTAACATCACGTATAAACGATCATTTAAACAATATTTTGGAAATGTAATTACATACTTAGGTTTTTTTATTTATTGATTTACATGCAATTTTCACAGATTTTGGGTCCATGCATTTGTCATACAATTCCCAAGAATATTATATTCTTAAAATAAGTATAATAATAATAGGATTTTAAAACCTTGATATGATGAAATCAATTCAGTAGTTTCCGTGATACTGGGCTAGCAAAAATGTATGGAAATTTGGGCCGTGTAAAACTTAACATCTGTAACATGCGCAGACGCCAGCACGTTATCTTGCTTAAATAGAGTCTTATTAATTTTGAAACTGGGAACCAAAACAAATAATTACTCGTTCCAATCACATCGAGTTCCAATCCAAAGCATAGTTTATTCAAGACAAATACATTTCAAGTTAAATAAACTGCAATTTTCCGTACACAGACTGTCAACTCTACGCTATTGGTAAGCCAGTGTATCATCGCTACAAAGAAGAAATGTTCGGAGCTTGGCTTAGAGACTCCAACGGTTCTGAAGCACAGGTAAACAAAATTTATCACATTAATGCAATCTTATGCGCTAAAATTTTAAAAATGTTTTAAAGGTACTAACATTATTACTTAACTAATTTCCACTCGGTGTAGATAGTGATTGTATGTGTAGGTCTACATAGCAGAAATCAAAGTCGCTTTCTCTGTTCCTATATCCCTATGTGCGCGTAAATCTTTAAACCTACGCAACGGATATTGATGCCGTTTTTTTAATAGATAGAATGATTGAAGAGGAAGGTTTACACGTATATATAATAATATCCATGAAGTAGTTGAGAAATTTAGTATCAGCAATGTAGTGGTGCGAAGACCGGAGGGGAGGTTGTAGCTATTTTAATTATATTCCACTTTCCTTTCTTACAGAGAGACAAGTTGTGGACCACTCAAGAGACTGATGTGGAACGACTGCGTGAGTACAGGTCGAAGGCAAGCTTCAAAGCCGATCACGTTGATGAATATCACAAGCTGCAAAAGCCGTTCTTTGTGAGTTTTCTTACTTCTGTTATACATTTTTTCTGTGTGCATCAAAACGATATTAATTATTTTAGGATAACAATAACAATAAACACATGAGAAGAAACTAACGTACCTACTTGCATTAGCTTTATTTGTATATCACATTAGACAGAGCTCCAAAATTTAAAAATGGAATCTGGAACCCTCCAGAAGCTCCTCCTACCTCTAAGCGTCTAACCTATCATCATCATCATATAAGTGTCCACTGCTGAGCAAAGGCCTCTTCTCACACGGAGAAGGTTTGAGAATTAATCACCACACTTGCTCAATGCGGGTTAGTGATTTCAAACTTATAATTAGAAATTATAAGTCCAGGTTTTCTCACGATGTTTACCTTCACCGTATGTCAGTGGTTTAGACACCACTGAAATACGGTGTAATCATAGAAAGTACACATAACTCGGAAAAAGTCATATTGGTACTTGCCAGGTTTTGAATCTACACCCTCACGCATGAGAAGCGGGCGCCTTAACCCCCGGGCCACCACGACAATAACCTATAGCAAATACGTTTATTCAGATAGCTTGGTTAGGTTAAACAAGTTATACAGGGGAATAGCCTGTGACATTCCCTTCCTGGAGTCCATCAAAAGATATCCACAAGTAATTAATAGTGTTGACAATACAATCAGATACATAATATTATATATCTTTCCTTGTCAGGGTAATGGCCACGTCGTATACAGCGGTTCGTTCTTCTACCAGGCCAATGAGTCTGGCCATCCTGGCGAAATCATTCGTTACGATCTCACCCAGAGCCGCATTAAATCTGTCAAGCTGCCTAATGCTGATGGCAGACTTTACACCACGCAACATAATCAGGTATCTGTCGTGAATAAATGTATAAGTAGGTACCAGGAGCTATCTGGTCCTTGGGATTTGGGAAAAATGACCAACGAAAATGTTAATTTCATTCAAAATATGGGTTACTTAAGAATTGCTTATTTTAAAGGGCAAACTCATTAAATGACGTGTGAGAATTAGACTCTTACTGACTAAAAATCTCTCTGTCCTTTAGCTTTCTAAACTAAACTCAACCGAGTATTGGTTCTGTATGCAACAAAATTTTAGTAGAAATGGAACATTTATAATTCTTTTTTAACGTGTCTTCTGGTTTTGAAGTAACACGACATAACGAAAATCCGTTCATGCATTTCTGAAAATTAATGATCCTCCTTTGAAAATATTTCAGGTAGACTTCAGTGCGGATGACAATGGTCTATGGGCGATATATTCAATCGAATCGTCGAATAACACCGCTGTAGCCAAGGTTTATATCCAGTCAAATTACTGTTTAAGGACAATTTGAATTAATTTATAGTTGCTAATAAAATATTTGTTTCCAGCTTAGCTTCGATCCTAATAAGGACGGCCTAAATATTGACTACATCTGGAATATTTCATTGAATCATAAGCAAGTAAGTATAACTTACATTGTATCCATAAAAAATATACTTTATGTATATCTTTGCGACGTACGAGCACGTTAAGATTTTTCTTTTTAAAAAAAGGTTAGGTAGCAAACCTAACCTTTTTTTATTCGTTTCATTACTACCGATTTTATTGAATTTGATCACTGTTCTAAACTTGAAAATACTAACTACAATCAACATTTTTGTGCTCACAATATAGATGGCGCTAGTGTGTCCTTATTTCATATTAGTCTGTAGCTGCATAGTGGCGTGACACTGGACAATTCACATTCGGATAAATAGGAACTCACGGCACATTAAGCCACCTATTCTCGTAAACTTTAATGTTTATACATTAGCCCTTTTTGTCAACTACCAACAGGTTGGAGAAATGTTCATTGTATGTGGGGTGCTGTACGCTCTGGACTCAGCAACAGAACGGGAGAGCAAGGTCTCAGTCGCTATAGACCTGTACCTCAATAAGCAGGTGGAGGTGGCCTTGCAGTTCACCAATCCATTCCGGAAGACTACACAACTTGGTTACGATCATATGCATAAGGTAAGGGTTTATTTTATTTTATACATAATATATTTTGAAGTAAATGAGCTGATGAATTAGCTGGTGGTAAGTAATCAGTGTCGCCCACTGACACTCGCTACACAAGAGGGGGTTATGAATACGTTGTTGGCCTTACGGGAGCTTAGAATTTGAGGATTGGGGATTCGGGGATCGATCACGGGGAAAATAAAAGGTTACGGCCTCCTGTAACCTCATTCAAATCTTTTAAACTATTTAGCGCCTAATTTAGGTGCAGTTTTTTAAAAGATATAGTAGTAGTAGGAAGTTTTACATGTCGTCCTTTAATAAAGGAAAAATTTCGACAACAGCAGTGCGCCCGTGCAAAGCCGGACGGATCGCTAAGTATAATGTTTGTCTATTTTTTCAGGAGTTGTATTCTTGGGATCGAGGGAACCAACTGACGTATCCAGTGCGATATAACGAGCTGCCATGACACAAACCTGAATAATACTCAAGTCGATTTGTTAATCAAATTTTTCTACTTACAATTTTTGCTAATACATTATCTATTAATTATTTGTTTTACTTATTGTGATGTTTCTGAATTAGACAATCTATCAAAAAGGAAAGAACTAATAAGCATATTAAGTAGAAATAAAAATGTTTCGACTAGGACGGACAAATATTGTCATTTATTTTTAAATACTTATGATGACTCAATCCAGATTCAGAGCAACGGCAGTCTTGTTAGTAAAGAAGCAGCAAATAAGTAATAAAGTACCTTTAACAGGCGTCCCTGACTTCCTTTAGATGCCTAACAACAATAAAAACATGTATAATTATAATAATTAATCATTCACATCGCCTATCCATTCAAGAACTATGAAAACTGACTCAAAAAGATTTCTGTTTACATAATTATAAGAACATACAATAAAAATAGTAAAGGCATCTAACGGAGAAAAGTAGAACTAATTCGGCTCCTAGGACCAAGCCATTGTAAGTGGTCCTTAGTGACATAACTGTCACTTGGCCGCAAGAGGGCATTACTATCGCAAGACTAAAGGAAACTGTTAAAATTTTCCGATAGATGGCGCTAGTGGTAAGATAATTATATTTTTATTACTGTCGGCTCTTCATGATTCAATATAATATAAACATAATTACCTGGCATTTGATGGATAGATCGTTGTATTTATAAGTATTTTTATAATCAAATTACAGCTTCTTCAAAACATTTAAAGTTGTATTTCACTTAATTAGTGTGGTTTAATCTTCAATTACAAAAAAATGGCCCTGTTAATGGACAGTCGCAACACCAAAACAGTTACAAGTACGTTGCTAGCTTCTAAGAGTGAACAGAGTTATTTTTCCCGTCAATGCGCATTTTATTCAGCATAGATTACACGAGATACACTTTTTGGTCCTTTTATCCTAACCAGATTAGGTCCTAAATGTGTAATATAATTTTAAGGACGTTGTGAAATTAAACCTTAGTCACAAAATGCCAAAACCTTAGTCATACTACGGAAAGCCAACAAAGTAAGTACCTAATTTATGTCATAACTTATGAATAACATAGTTACAAGGCGAGTACCCTCCAATATCCCATTGGTAAAATATTCACATGGTGTAATTGCCACCATGGCCGCATTTCGGAAATACCAAGTCGTATTCATATTTCAGAAGCTTTGTAATTATGTATAGAAAGTAGTGAGTGTTCCTGCTAGGTATCTACCAACATAACTATCGCCGGTTTATATGAGTGGGTAGGTACTAGAGTTTTATGTTTCGGTTTATGATAGTGTATCACGTCTATCAAAGTAATACGTACGTGTGGGTTTAGTGGTATTAAGCAGAGTAGATATACATATATGTTCATACTTATTCCAATTTAATAAAGTCATCATAATTTTGGTCTTTTTGGTCCTGGAAAAATTCTATTGAAGTGTACCAAAGGACCAATTTGTATTTTAGTAGATAATTTTATATTTTTTTCTAGGTTTGTACATATGTAATGATATGTTGATAGGTAAAGGGATGTTAACACACAACAGCAGAGCGACGCGGCATTCAAACGACTAGCCCACGCATAGTGACGAGCGGCTCACATAAATCGTCTCCCTCACGAGGCGCGCACTAAGCGCGGGCAGGCATTCCACGCTCATCTCAGCCCCCCATTTTTCGCCACAATAGCTAGCAATACATTCCGTGACTTGGCAGAACCCGATGTCGAGATATTTGGCCCCCATCGTGCGATCAATACGTGCGCACAGCGCCATCTAACAGCCATCGCGCATCCAAATTGCAGTTTAATAGTTCATTAGATCCGGCAAAAATGGCGGGGACACGACATTTTAAATTCGGAACGCGATATCGATTCGCGGGAGCGCCATTATGGTATACAGGTTATAAAAAATTAAGTAAAACTTTTTTAGCTGACGTTGCTGGCTGTAAGCCGGTTCGATTCCGGGTCGGAACTTGATGGGAGAGCTTGTACATTTTAATCAAGTTAAAATTCCATATGTAGTTTCTTTATAATTGCGGTCGAAGTGAATTCCAGCTTTCTTTGATATCGGTAATCACATTAAGTTTTTAAATCGAATATTTTAAAACGAAACTACCTACTTCTTTTTACAAGAGTTGAGATTGAGACTATTCACGAAGAAAACATTAGAAAAATAGTGAAAAAAAAAACATTTCTAAGAAGTGCTAAACGAAATATTAATTTTGAATTTCCAAGAACATTCACAAACAGCTTAGGCTAAAGCTCCGCAGTCTCCATTTATAATCTGTAGTGGTTTCGCGCCACCCACCGCCCACCTTAGCCGTCGTAATGAATGAATCATTCCGATTCAATTGGTCAACGTACACAATTCGTAATACAAATAGAACAGATTACCGTTTCGATTAATTACGAACACGTTAAGATTTTAAATCGTTTAATTGTGTTAATCGCGTTAATTTGTGGATGTCTGTGCAAAAATAACTTGTCAAGACAACACGGATTGATTGGTGCATTGCTTTGATTTATTTATGAAATTCCCATTACCTTCAGCTGTAGTTTCCCGCGCAATTTAAAAGTCGAATGTTATGAATGAATTATGGTCCATTGCCACAACTTTGAAGGGGGGAGTTTATTATACTTTAATATTGGTGCATTCCATTTTATATTCAGACTTCATGCTAGAAACGTAAGCGTGATTTATTTAAACGTTAGTGTGAAATCAATACGAGAATAGATTTCATAGTAGTAGCCATTGAACGTTGAGAATTATATATTCAGTTTTAAACCTTAAAGTGTGAAGGACATGTTAACATGTCCATGATTTTTATTAGTTACTAGCTACTCTCGCGCGGTTTCACCCGCTGCTCAGCTCCATTTGATCGTAGCGTGATGTTTTATAGCCTATAGCACTCAGGAACATTGTAGCTACCTATCAGTGAAAGAATTTTGGCAATCCGACCAGCGGTTCAAAGATTACCCCCTACATACAATCTTACAAATTTTACCTCTCTATAATATTAGTATAGATTTATTTTCTAGCTAAATTAAGTTTTATATTAATCACCAAATTAATTTTCTCATCCCGGTTGAGGTGATGGCAGTGCTAGACTCTTACTGAGTAAAAGAACTCCGTTTCTTCTCCTGCTGCAGATCGAGGCTGAGTAAAAGAACTCCGTTTCTTCTCCTGCTGCAGATCGAGGCTGGGAGACCCTATTACGCTTGACCCGCAATCTCGGCTGATTTATCATTTTCCTCAGACCTTTGTTAAAGTAAGTAAACCTTAAAAGAAATTAAAAATAGGATAGGGAGTAATTACTCTGTCGCGCAGAAAAAAAAATATTTTATGTCGAGAGCTGACTAAAAAAAATTCACTTTTAACTAATACAGAAAATTCATTGATTGTTATGGAGTGAAAAATCTGAAAACAATTCAAATACTTACTTATACAGACAACCACAAATGAACTGATCTTCTTTTGTAAATTTGTTGAGGAAGATAGTGAAAGTAAAATATTTAAGGATAATGCAAGAGCTAAGATCATAATGCCGCATTTATTTGTGGATTGCTGAGCAAGCAACTGCCATATTGTAAAAAAAGTTTCTTATAGAATATTTACTTGTAGGTCACTAAATAGAACCTCTTTCTTTACATCTCCTCCAATGATATAATTTGAATTCGAAATTTAAAATGGTCACTTCTTGGGGCTACAACAGACTTTATAGTTTCGAGTTTATTGTTTAGCGCTCTGGACCCTGGACACTGGTGCATTCAGGAGTAGATGGATGACGGCCAAACAAGCTTATTGGCCTCAGAAAATATATCAGACCACTTACGATTTTTTTGAATAGCAATTAGCGTGTGACGTACTAGGATTATTTGTGAATAACGCCTTACTCGAATTCAGTAAGTTGCGCTATGGGCACGCTGCTCATGAATAGAGTCCCGTTGTGACTTGAAACAAGAAACGCTTTTCTCAATTTATTCGCGTGAGTGTCGTCATCACTACATACCTAATATAAAACAAAGTATATGCCTATATTTGCTTAAATCTTTAAAACTACATAACGGATTTTGATGCAGTATTTTTATGGAGTGATTGAAGAGGAAGCTTCTATACATATGAACATCCACTAAATGGTGCGAGGCCGGGCGGTTCACTAGTTTTCTATAAATCAGACTATGTACTAATGGGATTTTGCTTACATCAGACCATCATATAGATGGATGGCAGTCCACAACTGTGCGATTTTGGCGAAACTTTCTGTTTAGCACAGCAAAGCTGTGGAATGATCTTTTTGCAGAGGTATTCCCGAACCAATACGACCTTCAAACCTTCGAGAAAAATGCGTACCTACTCCTTCTTAAAAGTCCGGCAACGTGCCTGTGTCTCCTCTGGTGCTGCAAGTGTCTATGGGGAGCGCTGATCGCTTACCATCAGGTGATCCGAAAGCTCGTTTGCCCCCTACCGCCTAAAAACCTCACGCTAGTATCGCTAGTCCGTCACAGTTTAAAAGAATCTAGCGAGTTGCACTTCACAAATTATACATATAGGTGCGGTACGAGCGTTCGTCTCCGAAATTTCACAAGAAGCGTAGGGAACTTCAAACTAGTTATGGAAATGCAATCATTTTGGAAACACCTGATAACTACGCTGAGTTTTAATACTATTATTATTTTTGACATTATTTGACTCATCTCTAGGACGAAAATCAGTTACTGTGTCTAACAATAATTTAAAAAAAACTCGTACTGAAATGAAGTTCAGCAACTTTCATAACAAAAAAGTTAAATCACTTTCAATGCGATCAGCTGACTGTTTACACATAAATCGACATAATAGCATTATGTATAAACAGTAGGTATGTTGTATATATAGGTATGTAAGCGTGTCGGGATTTCCTCGCTGTCGTCCGTCCGAGACAAGATAGCGAGCGCTTTCAGCGGATAAAGCGCTTTTTATTACAAGTCTATTGTTTTCGTATGAAGTTGTTAATGTGATTTTTATTTCAGCGTGTACTTCTTAGATATTACTGTAAGATTTTCTTTGTTTAATTTCTTCTTAAAATTGGTTTTGAATTTTTATTAAAACTTTCATACTACCTACAAATGTTTTTTGTCTAGCAAATTATCTGTATTTTTGTAAATACAAACAACATTCATATTAGTTTTTATCAATAGAACAGACGCAAACTATTCAATAAAATCTCAAAATACATAATAGGCTTAAGCTTTTGTCACCCGACTCTCAATTTTCACAAAGAGTTTACAACAGGGTCTCTCACCGCTGTTACTAAGACAATACATTCGAAAATCAAAGTCTGCTTCCTTCGAGCGCGGTTGAGTGAGTAATGTTTACAAAAAATGATAAACAAAAAGGTCAATGTACATGCGTTGCAAGTAAGCCGCTGCAGCGCTGCGCGGGGCGCTCAATCACAGCTGAGCCAGCAGGTCGGACACCTGACGTCGGCGGTCCCGCCCCCCGCCCGCCCGCGCCCCCCTGCCATCAGCTGTTAATGTACCCCCGCGCCCGCACCGCTCCGCTCCGCTCCAGCCTTTCCCCTTCGTTTGTGTAATGCGAGGAGCGTCGGCCATCAACGACACGCAACGACATTATATTTTTATGAGTATTGTTCTTATTTATTTCTTTTCCAAGTTTCATATAATCTGAGCATCCAATACTAAAAAGGTTGTATCTGTTTGAAATTTTGCTGCTGTAACACAATAATATTTAAAAAAAAAACATAAGTAAATGCACACGCACCTATCTAGTTCATTTGCAACGTTTCAAATTATTTTCTATGTAATTAACAATTAATAGTTGTTAGCAACAGCAATTTCGAATAGTTATGTATTCAATTTTGAGGCCACAGAGAACAACAAAAATGCCAACTTTTAATAATATATCGCACATTATGCCTGCCAAATGAATAATTTATCGCAGTGTGTCGATTCTGGGCTCGCATCCCCGGGGTGTGCGGGGTGCCCCCCAGCGCGGGGCGCGGCGTGGAGGGAGGGGCGCGCTAGCCGTCAGTCCGCGCCGAGCGGCCGAGCGAGCGCCATGTCCGCGTGTGCGCCGCGCGCCTGCTGCCGGCCGCGCGCCCCGCCGACGCTACTCGATATCACAGCGAAAATAGTCGCCGCCGCGATCCCGTTCCAACGCATCGAGGAGCGCTATGAACGCATCCCGGAGCCGGTGCAGCGCCGCGTCGTGTATTGGTCGTTCCCACGGGATGAGCGGGACATCTGCATGTACTCATCGCTGGCGCGGGCGCCGCCCGACGATCACCGCAACATTGCCTTCTGCCGAGGGCTGAAGCTGCTGGAGGCTGGCTGTGTGGAGAACGTGCTACAAGTCGGTGAGTGTCTACGACGCGCCTGCGCCTGTTTACTAATATGCGCCTCGCCCACCCGCGCCGTATAAATAAAAACCTCGACGTGTGCGATCGATAGCTGCTCCTCTCGGGAATTATTCATGCGTTGGCTCGTAAAAGTTTCAGGAGATTAGGGCCTGCCGGGGCCGGTGATGGTGACCCCACAGCTGCGAGTGATCACAGAGGTCGGCCCGTGGCGCCGCTCACTATCCGTGTGACGCAACTAATAGGCTTATCTCACTGCGATATCGATAACCCGGTAGTTGCATTGACGTATAATCGATCCAAAATTAAACACTTCACGCTTTTCCAGCGTATCTAGCTATACTAGGTACATCGTTCCGATAATGTCTCCCTGAGGCATTCCGCCCGACCGATAGGAAATCAGAGCGCCCGTAATTAATTGGGAGTCATTACTATGCATCGATTCGGTTCCGCGTCCATAATCCATAAGTCACTTCAACAGCTTTATTTTCCTATTCATACTATTGATATAAAATGGTGTCGCGCAATTAATCGAACTCCTAATTAAGATCCACTTTCGAAACTATGCAGATGCATCGTGAAATTCGGCTGAGATTTACATAACTGGAAGTCCCGTTACATAGGGAATTACTCAACCGGATCGGCGTGGTGTCCGCGGCATCGGTGTCGCGGCCGCGAGCCGCGAGAGACGCGCTCCGGCTCCGATGGCATTAATCCATGCAGACGTCGTTTGTTACTGTCGCCGCTCTGAATAACGGACGCGAATAAACAATATTAATTGCCTGTTTTTATTTTTATAGGGTCAGGCCCGGTTTTATTGTGCTCGGTCGTGGGAGGACGGGCGTTACAATTCATTTGTGCTTATCTGCCATCAGAACGACGATTACTGGTCATTTCGGGCCATTTCGGGTCGCACTGCGGTGGCATACGCCACATTTGGTGGGGCCACATCGTTCATAATGCTGTCACGTCTCAGGAGAACTTCAGACGCATTAATGTAATAAAAGATATGGAGCATAAACACGAATTCATAGTTGAATCATGTCCGCAGTACGATTTTAGGCACTGGCTTTCGTCCAACTTTAGGGCGGTGGAAGAGCCGCCTCGGTGAGATAGCGTTTCCGATATGAATCGTGTACTTATGTTACAGATAAACGCGTTAGTGGTCGGTTTGCCTTTCGTGTCCGAAGTGATATAAGTTCCCACAGCCGTATCATCTGAGTCAGACAATCTACGATCAAGAGGAACCGCCCACTTGAAGTAAAAACAGGCTAAAATATGTTCTCAGAAATTAGTCGTAGCTAACAAAGGTTGAAGCCAAGGAAGAATTATATTGTCTGCTATGTAAATTTGTAGGTCAGACGTGGACTGGGCAAAAGAAAAAGAAGCTCTGTTTGAATTCCTTTTGAAAGAAACTCGATTTCTATTAAAGTCTGTTGCTCGTGCAAACTGCATTGGAACTTTTAATGGAGTATGAATAACTTATGGACGCTTTTAAATTTTAATGCATGCATATCGAGTTCCATCGGTGACAGCGTACAGACAGCACGAAATGTCATGAGAAGGAAAAAATATCTGGTTGGCACCATTCGATCGACTCACCAAACGAGAATAGCCAGATTCGTGAATATGAATAAAAGAACACTGCGCCCTCAAGGTACATGCAAATGATCGAAAATGAACCCCACGTTTTAAATGTATCGGAGTCGCATGTACATATTTAATTGTCATGCAAAAATAAACGAGCGCACCCGGCACAACTCTGTAAATATTTTAATTCAATGTTAATAACTTTATATCAATTCAGTTCGAACGAATCTCGGAGCACGGTGAACCGGTTCCCTTGTTGATCGAGAGCGCTTCCAGCCGGCTCTAGGGGTGTGTTTGATGAAACCATCGATACCACTCTTTGTTTGAATTTCATTTCACAAAAAACGAACTACAGCACGTTCCTAACACTGCAGTTCAATTATAATTGTTAATTCCAAGGAAAAAGCATTTTTCCGTACTATGTCGACAGCCATCGTAGATTATTCAATAGAATCGATTTTCATTGGCTAGCTTAATGGTCGCATTAAATTTTTTAGTACGACGTTCTTATTAAATATTATATTGCTTTCCTGTCGAGCCATTGAATAGACACCAGATAGGTAGTAGCTGCATTAACGAGACAACGATGGAAAAAACATATTTGTAATATTTTGAAATATGCTAATAAATAATATCATAAATATAATCAATACCAAAATGCCAGTGGCATGCATCACAAACAAAATATGAAAAAACTACAAACAAATATTTTTACAGCCAGTAAGTAATCACTCGCAGACTGACAAACATGAAGCGTGCGTCATGCCAAAAAAAATTTACATGTTCCATATTCAGGACAAAATGCAGATGAGTATATAATTAAAGCGATTTCAATCCACATACAGAATAACTAAATACTAAGTGGAGATGACGCGATAATTTCCGACCATATGTCGGTCTCACGGTGTTTCGTCACCAATTTAAGAGTTCATGGCAAGACTGCAGTTCTTAGAAGGTCTAAGTGACGCCGCCATCGTTCATAAGATGATCGTTTGATATCCATTCTTGAGCATAACAAGTTTCAAGCTTAACGTCTGCGGTTTTTGTCGGGTCCTTTCAGATATGTGGAGCCCCACTTCTTGTAATTTGAAAAGTTTTATGTACTACCTTTCTGTTAGTCTCTTACAATGTATTTGCAGTTTTTGTTCGACGAAAGTTGAACCTTTTAAGCACGATCGTATTAAGAAAGTTGCTTACCGTTACATTGACATTGATTCTGATCATTAAATTGAAAGAGCAAGCGGAAACAGGAAAACCAGTGACAGTGTCACATTGTATTAATAGGAGTAATTTGTTGCACGTTATCACTATTTTCGTGATATGTAGTTGCAATTGAATTGTCAATGAAAATCGTTAGCTGTATAAATTCTACATGCAAATTTGAAACAGCACCATTAAATATGGAAAATTGGCAAGAAGCATCCTAATCTGATAGTAAATATTTATGAACAAGGCAAACCATTATCCTCTATGCCATTAACGAAAGACCCATCACAAAATTAAGGATCACCACACCCAAACGAGTATGCAAGATTTTTTCAGTAAACTTTAAGCAATATTTGCACAAGGTCCACACACTGTTTGCGCTCAACAATGGTTTTTACAAAACTATCAAAATGGAATAAATGTCATTGTAATTACTTCTTATCGTTGTTTAAATAACCATAATCGTGATGTGTGTAATTGTAAAACAATCTGTGTGCTATTATGTCTGGCAACAATCTCGTGGTTTCCTCTGCTCTCGTAATTGCTTCGGAATGAGAATATATTTTTGGTGACACACTGTTGCATAATTGTGTTGACTGCAAGCATTAGCTAGCTTCCCTTTTATAAATAGTTGGAAGAGTTAAAATTCTTTAAGAATATCTCTTATGTAGACCATGATCGCTTCATGAATTATGAATGAATGATTATTTTATACAATCTTTCTGAAGTAAGGATAAAGAATCCTATATTATATTCTCTATCTCTTCAGTGGGACACGTACAAGCCAAGCTGTGTTAGTACAACAGACAACAATTCTATTGATAATATGCTAGCTTCAGTTCCCCTTCACAATATTTGCAATACAACAATGAGTCACTCAGCTAAACCATATCCGTTAATATTTCAACAACTAAAGCATCTATTCACGACCACACCATCACATCCGTAAAAAACTACTAACCATATGTCAATACAATCGCGATTCATAGCAACAAAGAAATTACAGAGCAAACTGACAAACAGACAAACTGAATGCTCCTCTGTCCAATAACAGTGTTTCATAGTATCCACACAAGAACAGTTCTGTCGCGCGACCTCGCACCCAAACCTAAAATAACCAGCCCTCTCATATGCATCACCCCACCCCCGCCAACACCTATTTCAATAAGTAATGGGAAAGACGAGGTAGATCTCGAAATACTGGTCGCGCTCACAAAGACCTACTTGTGAGTACCAAAAGCACCTCCGCATTTTAGAATCCAATTGCAAGTTTACGCATGCAATTCGGCAGGACCTTAACGTTCAGGGAATAGAGGATGTTTTGCAATGAATAGAGGCATTGTCGGTGACGGCGTACAGTGAATCTTTGAAGGCAAACAGGCTTGTGAAGAGTATTGAATGCTTGATTTGATGGTGTAAAGATAAACTTACGAGTACCTGAGAAATTTGGTAGTGAACTGTTGGGAATTTGCGTTGAATACGATACGAGACACAATTTCCTTTAAGCTTGTACAACAATGTGTTTGTAAATAAGATATGGCGTTATTGGTTATCAGTGTATTTGCTAGGTTATAACCATTTCTGTAATGGCTTTGTGTTATAGCTACGTTCAAACTAATACTGGTTTGGTACTGGTTGAGATTATTCGATATCCGCATATGTAGATATAATCAATTAGATGTTAACGAGTAATGGATGTATGACGCTATTGGTAATGATGGGGTACTCAAAGACCATTTACGAGTTAACTACAATGGTTCGATTCGTGTTGATTCGCTGTACATTGTAAATACCAATCCATTTGATATAGTGCTTATTGATTTAGCAATTCAAGGATATCAACATTATTTCTGAGAATAATTTCATGATAGTAATAAATAACCTAAAGCTACTTGAAAATCTGCCTGTTACACAAAAAAGGACTTAAAAGGAGAATCAATTTTCCAATTAGATTAACTAATTCAAAACAGTATTAAAATGGATGATAGAATTCAAATTGTAATAGCACACTCAATTCCTAATCCTATTCCAAGGTTTCTCTAGATCCATACTAATGCAGCACCAATTACATGACTAAACGAAATAATGATTTAATTCATCGTGGGAATAACAACCTTAGTATGTAGTATATAGAGTTAATTGATACAAAGTTCAAGGTTAAGTATTGTCAATTGCAAAGCTTTTTGGACGTCACTGTCAATAGG